TTTTTGAAATTTTGAACCCCAAATAAGCGCCCACCAGCCGTGAAATCCCCAGGACGATTTTTCTGATGAGCGAATTTACAGCAGAATCCGGTATTATATAAAGAAAGTATTATTATGGATATCTCACAGATATTGCCGATGTTTTATACTGTTTGTAGTTTGCATATGAAGTGGTTGTTGATGCCCCTCCTATTATTCGACGTCGTTGACAATGCGATAACAATGCCACTCGCACTGTGCACATTTTAGCACTAGATCTAGTGCCATTTTTGCGCTAGATCTAGTGCCATTTTTACCACTAGATCTAGTACTTTTTCGGATTAGTGCTACTAGCACTAACCACTCGCACTATGTCCATTTCGACACATTTACATACATGGAGGTGCCTAATTAATAATATAAAAGCATCTATCCTGAATCACTTCCAGCTAGAAGCTCGTCCAGTAGCAACAAATAACAAACCAACTTACAGGTCTGACCATGAACCTGCTAAAAGAACTTACACCAGCTATCTGCAGCAGCAGCTTCACCAATCAAGAAGAGAGTTGACTACCAGGGACGAAAATACAGATATGCTAATAAACTCAACAACATCCACTTACAGCAATCACATCTACTTTCAAGAGTAATAAACCTTGAATCGCAATTGAACACAGCTAAAAAACATATTGTACCTTACCAATTGCTTAACATTGGCCATCTTAACTCAGAGGGACTACGTTACAACTATATACCAAATCCTTGCAGTCATGATCAAATAACCAAAGGTTTGTTAAACATTCAACAAACCATTAAGAACTACCATATCTATGCTGTCACTGAAACCTGGTTAGATGCTAACTCCACTGACTTACTGCCAACACCTGTAGATCACTTTGCATTCCATAAAATTAGGAACAAATCTGAAAAGGCATGGAGAAGTTCTGGTGAAATTAGTTTGTACATGAGGAAAACACTTAAACCTGGTGTTACAATACAAGAACAGTCTAGTGTTTACACTCTGTGGTGTAGATTAAAAAAGACTATTTCAAGTTAAAGAAACACATCTTTTTATGCACAGTTTACATTCCTCCTGCAAATTCGTCGTATTACAATAGGATCAGTGAAGATCCTTTCAACGTTCTTTCAACAAGAAATCACCATGTACAAAGAAAAAGGGGACATTATTCTACAAGGCGACTTCAATGCCCGAACAGCAAACTTACTGGACATAATTGAAAATGACGAGAATAAATTCAACTTTGCACCAGTTAATTACCAGTGTGACACTAGAACTAAAATGCGACATAACATGGATACACATAAAAATGCATTTGGTACAGAATTAACTACTCTATGCAAAGCTAATGGTTTAATCATACTGAACGGTAGAAGTATAGGTGATAGACAAGGTGTGTTTACCTGCTATGAATGGAATGGTGCTAGCACAGTTGATTATGCTATTACTGATACCAATCTACAGCACCAAGTCATGAACTTCAAAGTACATGAACCCACAATTGCATCAGATCACTGTGCAATATCTGTCATACTTTAACTGCCAACCATCCATGCTATAACTAGCAACCCAAATCAACACCTATATAATTCTCCTAGTTATTATAAGTGGACAAATGAAACAAAAGATCTGTACTTGCTATACCTTAAGACTCCAAAAGGTGAAAGTGTTGTTAACAACTTTTTACACACAGATTTTTCAAATCACTCATCAGATGATATTGCCAGCAAATTCCAATATACCATTGAGCAACTCGCAAATGACTGTCTATTTGACAAGAGTAAACACTTTAAACGAAGAAAACTCAGGAAGAAATCATATAAGTATACTGATAGAAACTGTAATATACTCAAACAAGAACTTAGAACATTAGCTAAATCCATACAGCACAAACCCTGGGATACTGATATGCGCAACATTTATTTTACTAAGAAGAAAGCCTTTAAAAAGCATATTAAAACCATGCAAAGACAGCAATGGAACATTTTCCAGGATAAAATTAACTTGTTGGATTCCAATACTAACACAGGTGATTTCTGGAATTTACTCAAGACATATACAAAATCAAGAAGTACAAGTCTAGTTTCAGATATACCCTATGACAAGTGGATACATCATTTCCAGTCAATCAGTAATAATTCCAATATACCAGAGAATAGACAAGCTGAGATACACAGGTATTGACCAATTTGAATTCCAGCATTAATAAAGAGATTTCTATGTCTGAAATTAAGACAACTCTGAAGAGGCTAAAAACAGGGAAATCACCTGGTTATGATGCCATACCAGCTGAAATGCTTAAATTCAGTAGTCCACATATTATTGCAGCCCTTCATAAATTATACAACCATGTAATGGAGAAAGGAGAATACCCTGAAATATGGAACATTAATGCCATTACACCAGTTCACAAAAAAGATGATTCACTAAATCCAAATAACTACCGTGGGATATCAACTAACAGCGCAATAGGAAAAATCTTCAGCATGATTCTAAATGACAGAATAAACCAGTATCTACATGATAATGATATTATTCACAAGAACCAAGCTGGTTTCAGGAAAAAACATAGGACAACAGACTATATCTTAACACTGCATACCATGGTCAAAAAATACCAATCAATGAATAAGCCACTTTATTGTTCTTTCATTGACCTGAAAAAATGTTTTGATACAGTTTGGAGATCAGGACTACTGTATAAATTGCAAGCCAATTGCCTTAATGGCCGTCTCTATAACATCATCAAAAGTATGTACAATAACATTAAATTCTATGTTAAATTGGATGACAAGATGACACCAGCATTTCAGACTGATAACGGAGTAAAGCAAGGCTGTCCACTTAGTCCTACTCTCTTTAGTTTATTTATTAATGACTTAGTTGAACTATTAGACAGTACAGCCATTGATCAACCAGTACTAGATGGACTAACAATATCCAGCCTCCTCTTTGCTGATGATATAGTTATCACTTCAACATCTAAAGAGGGACTCCAGTCTTCCATTAATCATCTACATGACTATACTAATAAGTAGGGATTGAAAGTAAATACAGACAAATCCAAAGTCATGATCTTCACAAAATATGGCCACAGATCTGATAACATTGCTCTTAAATATGGTGACACAATTCTTGAAAAAACCAATTAATTCACATACTTGGGCATTACCTTTAACACTAATGGTTCACTCCACAAAACTATGCAGAGACTTACTGATAAGGCAAGGAAAACCAAATATTCAATTGGTAACATCTACAGTGAAAGGTTTAACAATATTAAGTTGAAATTCAAACTGTTTGACTCATTGCAATTACCAATTCTATTGTATGGATCTGAAGTTTGGGCTGTTTTAGAGACTGGTAAATGGGACAAGACTGACACAGAGAAGTTTCTCTTAAATTTTTGTCGTCAGACTCTGTGTGTCAACAATAAAACAAGTGTGATTGGTTGTAGGATGGAAATGGGTAGATTACCCTTAATTGCAAGAATCTATTACCAGGCAATCAAATATTATCAAAATATTTTGAACAATGGACCTATCAGCTTTACATACCATGCTATTAAGGAACTGCAACAAAACTGCTATAAAAATACATGGCTAGCTAGTCTAATTAAGATTAGTAAAATTTACAAAATTAACATTCAGTCTGTACAAAAACAAACTTTTTATCAGTTGGCCAAAGATCATTATGTAAATTCATGGCTTCAGGACATCAAAAGACCAGATTCAAAAATGAGAACATATTCTTTATTAAAAGATGACATTAGCACATCACCTTATTTATACCTGTTGAATAAGAGAGAGGAAATTAAACTTATGTCTAAACTGAGACTTAGCAACCACAAATTAGAAATAGAGCTAGGACGTTACAAGAGACCAAAAACACCAGTTGACAACAGAGTTTGCAGGATGTGTAACATACTTGAAGATGAAATACATTTCATTACATCCTGTAAACTCTATAATACAGATCGTGAGAAACTATATATGGTCTTCACTGAACAATTTCCAGATTTCCAGTCTGCCAGTAATATTGAAAAATTTAAGTATATCATGAATACATCAGAAATAAAACTCATTAAACATGTTATTACCTATCATCTTATACATTACAATGAAAATGTTCTTCTCTTAGTACTGTACCTAGTGGTAGTGTGTCTTTTTTGTGTGATTTAGTTACTTCTTTTTGTTATTCTTTTATTACAATAAGCTAAAATTGAGATGTAGTTTCACAATACGGCATAATAAAGTTATTATTATTATTATGGTATCAGGTGTGTACATATTTGGATCATTGATAGATTCTTTATGTTTGTAAA